ATAAAAACTTCATACCTTAACAATAGGTAAGGTACCTATTCATACGCCTCGTATGCAGTATGCAGGTAATTAAATCCATAAATTACCTCTAGTCTAGGTAGTTATACTCTCTAGCCCAGCTAATTGAACTCATATAATATCTTGGTATGGACTTAACAATATGTAAGGTACCTATGCTGCTATGCATACACCTCGTATGCAGTATGCAGGTAATTAAACCCATAAATTACCTATGGTCCAGGTAATTAAATCCATAAATTACCTCTAGTCTAGGTAGTTATACCCTCTAGCGCAGCTAATTGAACTCATATAATATCTTGGTATGGATATTTAAACTCAACTAAGATAAAAATCCATACAAAATTTCTTTGGAAAAAAAAAACACTATTACATGGAAGACATGTACATATGTATATAAATATGAACCTCTAGAAAAAACTACTTAAGAAAACTCAAGAAAAAAACACTTACCTATAAGGCAGGTATATATATACCTGTATATATTAACATTATTTACCTGTATGTCAGGTACATAATTTAATGTGGGTGCTTGTCTGATCAATTGGTATAATATGTGAGTTTTTACTTTTTATTGATTAAATTGTATTTTATCTATATATTATGAATATTATGAAGGAAAAAAAATTCAAAATTCAAAATTTGGAATTCAATTTCAAGGAAATAATGAATTAAATTTAGATTTTCAATGTGTTTTGCCTATAAGGCAGGTACATATATACCTGTATATATTAACATTATTTACCTGTATGTCAGGTACATAATTTAATGTGCGTGCTTGTCTGATCGATTGGTATAATATGTGAGTCTTTACTTTTTATTGATTAAATTGTATTTTATCTATATATTAGGAATTCTGCACGCGCTTCCGCGCCTGCGAGAGGTTTTTTAAAATTTATTTTAGAATAAAAAAAGATAATGGGTAGTTGTGTTCCATAAAAATAGGATCCATTATCTAATTTTTCTTTTATTTTTAATTTTTTTAATATGAAAAAGTGTGGATTTACCATATTATCCTCATTTAATTAATAATTTCAATTCTTAATGAGGAGGTGGCTGGGGAAGAAAGGAGATGGAGAGATGAGAGAGATAGGGTCTCACATAGTGGGCTTAACTTAGGGAAAACCAAAAAAAAACTAAAGGAAACCGAAGTGGAGGCAAGAAGCCCCAGATCTGAGACAAAGCTCAGGGGAAAAACACCCATTTCGGGTGGGGAGAGGCTAGGGACTCTCAAAATGAAGGAGGAGGAAGAGAGCTCTCAGAGAGCTCTCTCAAGGGTTGAGGCTAGGTCCCCCGAATCTGCTTTTCTTCTTTGCTTTTTCCTTGGAAGCCCACGTGAACAACAAAAAGTGCTGGCCCCACATGAGTTTTGCAACAAGCTGGCCATTTGATTGAATCCCAACGGCTACTTTTTATAAATTATGCTGTGCTTTTTTTTTTTAATTATTATTTTTCCAGAGGTGGCCCTGGCCCTTCAATATTTTCCAAGTTTTCACCTATCAAGGCAATGTATTGTGAAATATTAAAAGAATTTTGCATGTTTGAAGTTAATGGCCACCCTAATAAATTCATTTTGAGTAATAAAGTGAAGTTATATTGGCTTTTCTTTACTGATTTTTATATCTTTCTCTTTTGGGTTTTAGTAGATATTGATTTCTTTAATATAAAAATTAAAAATAACAGTCCTGATCTCTTGGACCACAGGAGTCCAAGAAATTGTGGTCACCTACCGTTGGATATTAATCCAATGGTTCAAAACAGCTATAATTTGTGTCAACCAAAAATATATTTTTTTTTCTCCCTTTCTTTTTCCTTTGTCCGTTATATTTTTTCATTTTACTTTCATTCTTATATTTTTATTTTTAAGTGAAATTCTATTATGTTTTGGAATTTTAATTTTTTTAGGTTAAAATGTTTAGAAAATTAAATCATGATCAAAAATAAATAGCTATACTTGGATAGATTTAGTTGAAAAATCTTAATTCTTATCATAACTAACCAAATAGGTTAAAAAAAATTTGATAAAATAATTAAAATGGCTACAGAGCTTAACGTATTTCAAAATAAGTTTAATACATGTTAATTTTTCTTCTGCAATCTATATTTTTTTTCTTCTTGCTCTAGATGTTTGGTACATGTTAATTTTTTTCTTCATGATCAGAAGGCCCATAACTTTAACCTTTTTCATATGAAGAGAGCAAAGCTTGGCTCCAATTTTGCATTTACAATGCTTTTCATGTGCTTAAGAGTAAAGAACTATGGAAAATGAGATTTTTTGTCCTTTATTTTTAGGACGGAGGAAAATGAGAGTTTAAATAACAACACTTTATTTGCTTCATTCGTCCCCCTCACCAGCGTTCGACATGTTCCATCATGGATTCATGACTATTCGTCCCCCTCCCCAGTGTTCAACTTACGTACGGCCTTCCGACATCTTCCACTAGGCGTCAGCCAGTACGTGGACGACACAACAACACAAGGCTTTCAGTTTGGTTGGTATGAAATTGACCGAAATTGAATGGCTTTGAAATTTAAGCAAGGACTTATGGATTTTTTTTTAAATTTGGCTGAAAGACTTCTCTGTATTCTTCTTGTTCATGCATTGCATTATTGCTGCTATGATTATGACAGAGGGGAGACTAATTTGACACAAGTTCTTGTAAGACCATCTCCAACCCAATGGGTGGAAACCCAACTTATAGGTTTTGAGTCCAAAAAACTTCTCCAACCCATGTATTTGGAGGGGTGGAAATTTGAGAAATCTCAAATTTGGACTGGAATTCTGCCCAAACTATTGCCTGGACTAATAATGTTTGTGGGCTCCAAATCTTCTTTTTCTTCGTTGTTTTTTCCTTGGAAGCCCACGTGAACAACAAAAAGTGCTGGGCCCACGTGAGTTTTGCAACAAGCTGGCCATTTGATTGAATCCCAATGGCTACTTTTTCAAAATTATGCTGTGAAAAAAAAATATTCCAATAGCTATAATTTGTGTCAACCAAAAATCTTTTTTTTTTCTCCCTTTGTTATATATTTTTATTTTACTTTCATTCTTATATTTTTTCATTCCATTTTCTACTTTTATTATTATTTTTTTACTTGTTTTTATTTTTAAGTGAAATTCTATTATGTTATGGAATTTTAATTTTTTTAGGTTAAAATGTTTAGAAAATTAAATCATGAAATGTTGAAACAAAAATAATGTCAAGAAAAATTAACGAGAAAAAAAATTTAGGGGTTAATCATTCTTAAACAATTTAATAAAGTTGCGGACTCAAATTATGAGTCTGCAAAGATGGAGGAAAAAAAAAATTTGAGTCTTGAAAATACATGAATAGTTGTATTTTGGAGGGTGAAAATTTGAGTTTAGCCCCAATATGGTTGGAGATGGTCTTATAGTGTTTTAACCTATCCTACAGGCTACAGGTACAATTTCAATGTCCTTCAAATTTGTTTTTTGGTCAAATCTGTTTTCTTATTGTGAAGTTGGGTCCCAAGGCCCAAAACACAAAAACTACCTCGAAGCATTTCCTGGGCCTATACAATCCTCAAGAAGAAGACAGGCCCAACATGATGGGGGAAGAGTCCAAGATTAAACAGCTCATGTCCAAAGGAAGGAGAATAGAAAAGGCAAGAAATCTATGAGTTGACCTGAATTTTAAATCAACTTATTCTTACAACTACCCGATCATTGTGCTATTATTAATAGAAAATTTCTCTTGCATCTACGGTCTCTTGCATCTACGGCCGGAGAAAGCAATCTGCAAGTGAGCTTTCCTAGTCATTAACCAAAGGCAAAACAAACTTGGTCCTTCCTTTCATACATATACATAGCAGGTGGGAATTCCTTTCTTCTCTTTTTTTTTTGGAGGGTGGAAATTTGAGTTTAGCCCCAACATGGTTAGAGATGGTCTAAGAAGCCACAAAATACAACTATTCATGCATTTTTAGGATTCAAATTATTATTTTTTCCTCCAACCTTGTAGACTCATAATTTGAGTCCACAACTTTATTAAATTGTTTAAGAATGATTAACCCATAATTTTTTTTGTCGTTAATTTTTCTTGACATTATTTTTGTTTCAACATTCGTGATTTAATTTTGTAAATATTTTAACCTAAAAAAATTAAAATTCCAAAGCATAAAAGAATTTCACTTAAAAATAAAAACAAGTACAACCCAGCTTTTTTCAGCCGTTGGATTCCAACGTCTTTCTCTCCTGAAGCTGTCATGTGTTGTGCAAAAAGGTTGCTGGCATGCGGGGCCCACCTCTTTTTCCTCTTCACATGGGCTGCAAAACAAAGCTTTGGGCTCCACACAAATTACCAGTCCATGCAAAACTTAGATTGGAATTCCGCTCCAAATTTCACATTTCTCAAATTTTCACCCCCCAAAATGCATGGGTCGAAGAAGAATTTTGGGCTCAAAATTGAAAATTTGGGTTTCCACCCCAATGGTTGGAGATGGTCTTATTATTGGGTTGGAGGAGAACCATATTTTGTAGCCCCAGAAGTCCGAGCAAACCATATTTTGTAGCCCCAAAAGGTCTTTTTGGTGAGTAAAACCTTTAGTCACCCTAGCAAATGTCACTAAATAATGGTGATTGTTGCCACTTTTTTTTTTTTTTTACTGGCCCCACATGAGTTTTGCAACAGGCTGGCCATTTGATTGAATCCCAACGGCTACTTTTTATAAATTATGCTGTGCTCTTTTTATTTTTATTTTTATTTTTATTATTATTTTTTATATATAAATATTCCAACAGCTATAATTTGTGTCAACCAAAAATATATATTTTTTTCTCCCTTTCTTTTTCCTTTCTCCGTTATATTTTTTCATTTTACTTTCATTCTTATATTTTTATTTTTAAGTGAAATTCTATTATGTTTTGGAATTTTAATTTTTTTAGGTTAAAATATTTAGTTCAAACATTTACTATAAGGATTTCCACAAATAGGCCCATTCTAACATATTATATCTGTGGATCAAGATAGAAACTTGTTCATAATAGGGCGCGCTTTACACATAGCTTCCAAGGGAATAACTTTAGGCATGCTGATTCCTTTACCTTCAGCCATGTCAATCGTCTTCTCACTAACTCTCTCCCACTCAAAGCATTGAATTAATGACCCCAAAGTCAAGCCCACCACACGTTGTGCCATGCTTGCTGCAGGGCAAGCCCTTCTTCCAAGCCCAAACGGCATGGGTTTGTGGGAAAAATCTTCACTACTTTCAAACCTCTCAGGCGTGAAGCTTTCAGCGTCATCCCACAATTCAGGATCTCTATGAATAGACCATGCATTGACCAACACTATTGTGTCACGTGGCACATCGAACCCTGCAATAGTACAATCATCGGATGAAAAATGTGGTATTAGCAATGGAGCTGTTGGGCATAAACGGAAGGTCTCGGAGATGACATTTTGGAGGTAGGGTAGTTTGGAGATGTCTGGTTCATCCACTAAGTTTTCTTGGCCAAGTTGATCATCTAGTTCATCTCTAGCTTTTTTTAACGCGTGTGGATGGTTAAGTAGATTGGACATTGCCCATTCAAGTGTCACTTTTGATGTATCAGTACCCGCCAATAGCATTACCTGAAAAAAGACAATCCAATACATTCACTATTAACCATGAAGATGCATATATATTGTTTATTAATCTTAGAAAGAAAAAAAAAGAAAAAGAAAATTTAGATTCGAGTGGAAATTTTGATAAAGAGCTATAATACTATTCATATTGTGATAAAGAACCAATGAGGTGCGAAATGATTTTGATTTATTTTGGCTGCAAAGCGGAATTTTTATCCTTAAAAATCTAATGCATGAGAGAAAGAGAGAGAGAGAGAGAGAGATTTTGAGTAACCAGAATAAGGCCCTTGATGATTTGGTTGGTGTAATATTCAGGCCGTGACTCTTGCAGGGAAAGAAGATGGTCAATCATTGTAGTACCATTTTTACCCTTACTCTTGTGCTCATCAATCAGAGCCTGCAAGAACTCATCTGTCCTCTTAGCCAACGTCTTCACCTTCTTCTCATAACCACCTCTCCCAACCCAATTCAAAATGGGCAAAAAATCAGCTGGGTTCGCTGCCCCACCGTAAAAAAACACATCGCTCATAATCTGCCTGAACTGTTTGGCCTGTTCTTTGTCGACTGACACGTCATCACAGCAGTACCTCTTGCCCGCCACCATTGTCATTATGATGTTAAAGGTGAGCTCTTCCACCTTCGCAAAACCATCACGTGCGTTTTTTGAAAGTTTAAGTAGTAAGTGTTTGACTTCGTCCTTTCGGATGTTGGAGGATGTGTTGAGTCGAGCAGAGGAGAAGATCTCGGTGGCTCCGATGCGGCGGACGTTGCGCCAGTGATCGCCGTACGGGGACGCCCCTATGGTTGTGTAGTTGTAGCCTAAGTGCTTGCCCATAAGCAAGGGAGGACGGTTGGCTAAGACGATGTCGTTTTTGGTGAAGCATTCCTCGACTGCTGATGGGGATGAGACTATGACCACGCGGCGTGAGCCGAACCAGAGTGAGAAAACGGGACCGTATTTATGGGAGAGACGGTGGAAGGTTCTGTGGACTGGGGTTTTGAGGAGATGGAGATGGCCAAGTATTGGAAGTGAAAGTGGGCTTGGTGGAAAGTTCTTCTTGTAACGTAGTCGGTTTGGTTGGACCAAGAACTTGAAGGTAAAAAGGATGAAAATAAGGGTGAGGGATGTGTAGAAGAAGATGTCTTCCATAGTTTTTTTTGTTTGCCAAAACTTTGTTTGGGTTAATTGGTTGATGCATTCTTTTGGGTTGTGATTTGGATTTGAAGATGTGGTAATTATATAGAGGTACGTGAGAGTAGCGCCCAAGTAATATAAGGAAGAAATGGGAGTGTTACTTACAAGTGTTTGAAACTTTGAATTAACAACATTTTATTTGCTATCCATTGTTCGTCCTCAAGCATGGCTAGCGTTTCCTTTGCTATCCATTATACGTAAGGGAGTGCGTGAAATATATTTGCATTTGGCATCAGCCAGTACGTGATCCACACAAGGCTTTGCATTTTGCATGGCATGCCACACTGCCCCAAAAGCCAAAATCAAACTAGTAAGTTAAAGAATCGTTGTTTCCACGAAGCTCTCTCTCTTTAAAAATTAAAATATGGAATACAGCGAAACTGGATTTTTAAAAAATTGGCTGAAAGACTTCTTTATTGTTCTTGTCCATTTTCATCTGAAAATTTTACATGTAAAAAAATTGGCTTTTGAAATACAACAAAAGACTTCTGGACTTTTTTAATTTGGCTAAAGGATTCTTGTCCATTTTCATCAATGACTAATCCTATCTAGTCCTAGACTACGCAATTGAGCCTGAGTAATGTTTATACCACATATGAGAGCAGCCTCTGCTGTAGCTAACAAGGAGCAGCGGCAAGTGCTCAGTCTTCGGTTGACACCCTTGTCGATCATGTCAAACAAAGGACCATCTATGTCCGAGAACACGTGGCAGCTCTACAAGTGATGTCCACAAGTCTCACATCGAAATATTACCTCGAAGTCTTCCACATATCGATATCTCCTCTATAAATAGAGCCCTTGTACTCTTACTCTACCGAATTAATTTCTCACTCCATACTTAGCTAACTTAAGTTTTTAGAGAACTTTCGGTCGGTACTGCACCAGTATCAAGGTCTTAACCATTGCACTCTCCTTTTGTAAATTACTCCTAGCTTGTTGAAGGGGATTTGACTACCGAAGGCAAGCCACTTCTAAGTTGGTCTCCAATAGTGATCATCCATTTTTGTGCATCAAAAAGTAAGATTGAAAGAATTGCAATCAACATTACAACTTTGGCAAAGAAAGCCAAAACTAGCAAACCTAGAACCTAACACAAAGCCAATTAACTTAGTTGAATAAATTTAACAAATAAAACATATCGAGCTCAATTTCATGTACACCAGCTTCGAAAAAAAAATCTCCCCAATAGACTCTCAAATTCAAATTTGATGTTTTTCATTTGACATCTCTCTTGGAGATTCTCTTAGAAAGGTATAACTAGTAGAAAAAATGCATTTAGCAACGAACTTTTGGGCAACCAAATTTTTCTTGGACGTCGATAATAACAAAGACAACGAAAAATGTGATTTGGTTGCTAAAAAAGTGTCAGATTTTTGAATGTCGAAAAGCTTCTTTCGATTACCCAAAAAATATTTGGTCGCCAATGAATGCTTCGGGAGCTAAGTGGCACGAACCCCAAAATTAATAGGCGTGACTCCCGAATATATTGAAGTGGCTGAATATATTGGGAGACTAAATTTGTAAATGAAACGACATCGTTTTGTTTATTTTTTTTGTCTTGCAAAATAAGGAGCTTCTAAAAGCATTTACAATCATGCTCCTTATTTTTTTAAGTTAAAATTTAGCTTAAAACACACAAAAACTATTTTAGGAACACTCTATAAAATTTGAACTTCAATCATACTCTCTAATTTAGGGAGTCTTTTCTCGCTCCTCTGATTTGAGAGCTCCTAGAGGTCTCCCTATTTTAGGAGGTGAATAGGGAGCATGGTTGGAGTTGTATTTAGGCTTACCACATTTTCCATACCACATTCATACCACCTCTCTAATAGAGGTGGGCCCCATTGTATTGGTGGGCTCCACCTCTATTAGAGAGGTGATATGAATGTGGTATGAAAAATGTGGTAAGCCTAGCATTACCCTTTTTCTAATTCCTCCCTAAAATATGTCTAAGGATGTGATTTAAGGAGCCCATTATGGATGCTTTAATACCCAAGCCATCCTGAATTTATTTATGTTGCCTCCCCACCTAGTACAAGAGCCTTTTTAATTCTCAATTTACTTTATTTTATTTTTTTCAGTTTTTCACAGACTTTACAATGTGAGTATGTTTTCTTGTTAGTGTCATGTAGGATTATGCTCAGGGTTTTCAAACTCACAACTTTTTCTGGGTTTAGTTTGGTTTGTGAGAATAAGGTAAATTTATTATTATTATGTTTTACTTGGCTTTTGGATTTGGTGTGTTTTTTGTGTTTGCCAAAGTTAGGAGAAATTTTTGTATGTTCCGCGTAAACCACGTATTACCATGCAATACACATAGGACATGTGGAAATATTTTATTTTTATTTCCTATGTGTATTGGACAAAATACTCACATGTTCCATGTGTATTGAATGGTACACCAGCCACAAGGTGTACCCGGAACATGCAAAAATTACTCCAAAAGTTAGGAAAAGAGATGAAGTTTCTCACACAAACACTGCCAAAGTGCCATAGAGATTCGAACATGAGACCACTAATATGCAAGTCAATGTCATTTTCCACTAGTCTAGACCTCCGTTGACTTTGGATTTGATAATTTAGTTTCTTTAGAATGTGATACTTTGGTCCCAAAAATTTTGGATGCCAAATATAGTCAGCCGCAAATTAACTTTGCCGTTTTTTGTTTCGTTCCTTTGTTTTTTTTTCAAAGATTAACATTGTCTGAATACATCCACCTGCATATATTGAAAGAGAGAAATGAATGAAGCCCCAAAAGGACTAGTTAAATGAATATTTATTGGAAGACATAAAATATTTCTTCAAAATTACAATGCTCGAGTATACATGTCTTGCAGCTAATTACTTATTTTGTTACGACATTATTTATAAGTAATATATATTTCCATAGATCAAGATAGCATCTTGGTCATAACTGAGCGTGCTCTACACATAGCCTCCAATGGAACAACTTTAGGCATGGTGAGTCCTTTACCTTCAGCCATGTCAATCTCCTCCTTACTGGTTCTCTCCCACTCAAAGCATTGAATCAGTGACCCCAACGTCAAGCCCACCACACGTTGGGCCAGGCCTAGTCCAGGGCAAGCCCTTCTTCCAAGCCCAAACGGAATGAGTTTGTGGGACAAATCGCCACCACTTTCAAACCTCTCAGGCATGAAACTTTCAGGATCATCCCACAGTTGAGGATCTCTATGCAGAGCCCATGCATTGACCAATACCATTGTGTCACGTGGCACATCGAATCCTCCAATAGTACAGTCATCGGACGAAAAATGAGGTACTAGCAATGGAGCTGCTGGGCATAAACGGAGGGTCTCTGAGATGATACTTTGGAGGTAGGGCAGTTTAGAGAGGTCTGCTTCATTCACTAAGTTTTCTTGGCCTAGTTGAGCATCTAGCTCAACTCTAGCCTTTTTTAACACGTGCGGATTGTTAAGTAGATTGGACATGGTCCATTCCAGTGTCACTGCCGATGTATCAGTACCCGCTAATAACATTACCTGAAGATGCATATTGTAAATTAGCCTCAAAAGAAACAAAAATGAAAAGATTAGATTTTCATTCAGGGGAAAATTAGATTAATATTTATCTTTATCCTCATATAGTTTATATTAATGATTTTGATTTGTTTTGGTATAATGATTATGAAAAATACTTCCCTCCGGAGCTCCTCAGCTGGACTTTGAAACCAATATATGCCCAAAACTAGTTCACAGCCTCTAGAGCTAGAGCTAGATCTCGTCGCGACAATTCCGATATGTGTGTATACAGCATAGCCACGCCACGTGGCACGTTAGTGATGTGATGAATTGTGCAATTATATTGTCTTTTTCTTTTTGTCCTTACCTTGTTCCTACTATTAGTTTTGTACTATAAAAAAACATGAGATTTTCTATTTAAACCCCGCACTTCTCTTAGTTCACCCAAACTTTTAATTTAAATTTTCAAAATTTCTAAGAAAACCCCACTATCTTCCCAAACTACCCTTAAATACACCCCAAGCTGAAAAAATAAGAAATAAAAGAGATTTTCTATTTAAACCCCACAATTTTCTTTGTTCATCCAAATATTTAAACCATTAAACAATATTTGTAGTATACATGAGATTTTGTTTCGGGTGAAAGTTTGAAGCAAAAGTATGTGGTAGGCATCAGTTTAAGGACGGTTTGAAGGCATCAATTTGAAGTAAAAATACATGAGATTTTCTTCTTGTGCTAGGCATCAGTTTGAAGCAAACGTATTTGTAGTATACATACATGAGATTTTGTCACAACTAATCTTTCTCTTCAAGCCTTGGAAAGAATCTTCTACAATTGTGGAGCCTAATCGTCTAGCAGCACACGGTGCTTCAATGCATCGGATCTCAAGGATATCAATAGTGGTGAGGAGTTTGTATTTTTCTAAAACTTAATATGAAGAGTGATGGGGGTGTGTGAGGTGTGTTAATACTAGGGTTAAGTATTAAGTTGGATGACATTTTTCATCTTTTTACACAATAATAAAACTTACAGCTTAATGATTTAAGTATTAGGATGAACAAAGAGAAGTGCGGGGTTTAAATAGAAAATCTCAAAAACATTATCATAAAAATCTAATGCATTGTCATGTGAGAGAGAGAGAGAGAGAGAGAGAGAGAGAGAGAGAGGAATTATTGACTAACCTGAATAAGGCCCTTGATGATTTGATCGTTGTAATATTCAGGCTGGGACTCTTGCAGGGAAAGAAGATGGTCAATCATTGTAGTACCATTTTTACCCTTACTCTTGTGCTCATCAATCAGAGCCTGCAAGAACTCATCTGTCCTCTTAGCCAACGTCTTCACCTTCTTCTCATAACCACCGCTCCCAACCCAATTCAAAATGGGCAAAAAATCAGCTGGGTTCGCTGCTCCTCCATAAAAGAACGCATCGCTCATAATCTGCCTGAACTGCTTGGCCTCTTCTTTGTCGACCGACACGTCGTCGCCGTAGTACCTCTTACCCGCCACCATTGTCATTATGATGTTAAACGTGAGCTCATTGAACATGGACTTGAGCTCCACCTTTGCAAAACCGTCACGTGCGTTTTGTGAGAGTTTAAGTAATAAGTGTTTGACTTCGTCCTTTCTGATCTCGGAGAACGTCTGGAGTCGGGCGGTGGAGAAGATCTCGGTGGCGCCGATGCGGCGGAGGTTACGCCAGTGGTCTCCGTACGGGGAGGCGGCGATTGTGGTGTGGTTGTAGGCTAAGTGCTTGCCCAAGAGCAAGCGAGGGCGGTTGGCTAAAACGATGTCGTTTTTGGTGAAGCATTCTTGGACTGCGGACGGGGAGGAGACTATGACCACGCGGCGTGAGCCGAACCAGAGTGAGAAAACGGGGCCGTATTTTTGGGAGAGGCGGTGAAAGGTTCGGTGGACTGGGGGTCTTAGGAGGTGGAGATGGCCAAGGATTGGAAGTGAAGGTGGGCTTGGTGGAAGGTTTTTGTAACGACGTCGGTTTGGTTGGAGCAAGAACTTGAAGGCATATAGGATGAAGATAAGAGTGAGGGATGTGTAGAACAAGATGTCTTCCATATTTTGCTTTATATAATTGGTTGAAGATGTGGTATTTATAAGAGTGAGGGCATCTTGAAGAAGAATAGTGTATGTTTTCAGTATCATACAATTGTTGTCTTGACAAATAAAAGTAGTTACTTATTTAATTTTTTTTTTTTTGAATAAGTAACTAATTTTATTTGAATATAAAATAATATGTATGTAGATTCAATTTCTCACAAATTGATAAAGTGTTTGAATCAACAACATTTTATTTTATTTCCATTATTCAAGCGTCCCTCTCTATTTGGGTAACACATACGTAAGGGAATGCGTGGAATATAAAATGCATGCGTCACCCAATACGTGATCCAGCATTTCATGCATTTCATGGCATGGGACACTGACTCAGTGAGTGCCCAAGTCAGAACCAAACTATTGAGCCAAGTAAACCACGTTCGCTCGAAATTTAAGCAAGGACTTCTAGATTTTATTTTGAAAATTTAATGGAGTTTTACTATTATGTCCAATATAAGGGCCCAAATTATATTTAAAAAACTCTATATAAAATGAACTTTAGAAACACACCTAAAATCTATTTACAACATAACAAAGAGGTTTCGAACTTCCTATAAATTACAAAACTCTCATCCATTTCTTAAAACAAATCCAACCCAAAAATCTCATAAAGAAACCCAAAATATTCAATTAGGCATCAAAGTAATTCAATAATCAAAATTAAATTCAACAGAGCCAACTGTCTTGTTTTGGGTTTTTCTTGGGTTTGTTTATAGAAATTAAATTGTGTAGGGTTTATCTATATCACAAATGCTAAGAATGGGTATATAACTAAATACCTCAAAATTTAACATGTAAAAAAAATGAGCTTCGAAATTCAAGCAAGGACTTCTTTGATTTTTTTATTTTAAAAAATTAAAATTTTGCTAAAGGTCCATTTTTATCGTTGGAAGTTGGTCAGTTTAAGTGGATAAATTCAATAATAACTGAGAGGCAATGGATAAGTTTAAAAATCACAACAACAAAAAAACAAAATTATATTTCTCCTCATGACACCCACCCAGCCTGCCAGAAGAGGATTATGCCATGAGCGTGGTGTGTCATGCACTATCCTTTTATAAGGTTGGATACAAGGTAAAGCCAAATGCGCCAGAGTCATATCGAGGATCATATTTGATCTTCAATTTATGTGATAGGATATGGAAGGGTATAGTGACAAATATGTGAATCACGATGTATATGAGAGAGAATTAGTGGAGATTCAACCCAACAAAGACAATAATTCATTTTGAGTAGTGCTCTCTTCTATTTTTCCACCCGTTTGATTTTTAAAATTTTAAAAACAATCTGTTGTATTTTTACACTCTTTTAAATTTTAAAAATAAATTTACCTTTTTATAAAATGACTTCTAAGAGCAGTTCCAGCGGAGGGCTGAGCCCAAGGCTGGGGGGAGAAAAACAAAAAAATCTTGTTTCAGCGGACAGCCCAAGCCCGGGCAGGCTGTGGGTCCTAGCGAGTCGGGCTGGCCTGAAGGACATTTTAGTGTTGATTTATTTTTAATTAAAAAGAATAGAAAAGAAAAAATAATAAAATATTCATTTGACATCTTGCTTTTGGGATGTCAAAAATAACATCTCAATCTTCAACCTTCATTCCACATCAGCTTTGACATATCGGTTGGAATGTGTGAGATGTTATTTCTAGCTGTTAAATGTCTATGTGGCACTTTTGACATATCGGTTGGAGATGCTCTAAGAGCATCTTCAAGGGAGATTTGAAATACAAAACATCAAATTTAAATTTGATGGCTGATGTGGCAATTTGACATCTTACACAGCTTTACACTCCACCCGATATGTCAAATTAAATTATTATTCTATTACATTTTAGTGTTGATTTATTTTTAATTAAAAAGAAAAGAAAAGATAAAATAATAAAATATTCATTTGACATCTTGCTTTTGAGATGTCAAAAATAACATCTCAATCTTCAGCCTTCAATCCACATAAGCTTTGACACATCGGTTGGAGTGATGTGAGATGTTATTTCTAGCCGTTAAATATCTATGTGGCACTTTTAACACATCGGTTAGAGATGCTCTAAGGACTTGAGGGAAAAAAAAACCCTGTTAATGGCAAATGTACACATTTCTTTTTAAAGAAAAAAGAAAGAGGCTAAAAACATTAACAGCAGCCAACGTGAGCCTCCCCACCCTGCCGACGGCAACATCAACCCCCTCTCCTCTTCACTACCATCCAAGCCTCCTCTCTCTCTCTCTCTCTTGGTCAGATCTGGTGGGTGTTAAAATTCAGTCTTGGAGAGCTAATTTTGGGGCTATTTTATGAAAAAAACAACCACATGACTTAATTTTTTATCGGTTGGATTCGGGTGTTTTGAGCACTCCCGCATCTGGGTATAAACCAAAACTCATAATTTCATTTTGAGCAACCCTGAATTGATAGGAAGACCTGTCCCACAGAAGTATGATTTGTGAATCTGATTCGTTTTCCGGTAAGGACCTACGTTTCCTCTAACTTTGAAAATTGTGTCAAATGGGGCCTTACTCGATTGGTGTCATCTCTCAAATCCCCATATATAATCAAAAAAATAGAGAGAGAGAGAGAGAGAGAGAGAGAGAGAGAGAGAGAGAGAGAGAGAGAGAGAGATAAGAGACTAGAAGGGGTGTGGAGGTGGTCCTCAAGGACATGAATGGTGATGACATTGTCACCAAGCTCTGCCACTTTGACGAGTGCCCACATCAACCGCTCATTGCTGCGTGAATCTAACTTCACCCCCACCACTACCGTCTTCCCACCACCACCACCACTGCCTTCTCCGGTCAACAACTTCATTTCACCATCAGCTGCCTTTAGTCCGACATCGTTTCATTTTTGGAGAAATCAGTCACTCCAATGGCACTGGAGTTTGTTTGTTTGTCTATATTGGAAATTGGGAAATTGGGAAATCAAATCCTGGTTGGTTGGTCAAGATGGAGATGGTCTCGGAGGAAAATCTCATGTTGTTTCTTCGGCTCCTTCTACCTTGTTCACTTGCTACTCTCTCTCTCCCTTTGTCTCTTGTGCCTGCTCCAGAGAGATGAGGAAAGGAAGGAAGGTCTGTTGGGGGGATGGGTTTGGGGTGGAGGGTGGCTTGCAATGGTGGCCATGGGAAATAGGGGAGAAGAAAATGGGCGGTTGCGGGTTGGGGTTCTGGGTTTGTGGGGAAAGGGGAATGGGGGTGTGTGGGTGAAAAAAAAAATTGAGGAAGGGAGAAGAAATCTGGGGGAAGGGATCCAAATTCACCGGAATGAGCTGCACCTCCTTGCCATAAATAAGACTCACCTTGCAGTGTATGAAGTGAAAGAACTAGCATGTGTCTAGGGGGAGGGGAGGCTACCCCATCCCAAGGTCAGAGCATACCAAGGCCTCTTTGAGGAACTATTTGGCTTTTTAACTCTTCACTTTGGGATTAAAAACACAAGGCACCCAAAAAGGGATCAGGCCACTCAATGATTCACCATGATTTTTTCTTTTTCATATAAATTTAAAGATGTAGTCACCGCCCCTTCACAAGTATATGATACTAGCCTATAAAAATTGTGTATCAATTTTTTCTTTGCCTTGCAAGCACTCAATGATTCACCATGATTTTTTTTCTTTTTCATATAAAGATGTAGTCACCGCCCCTTCACAAGTATATGATACTAGCCTATAAAAATTGTGTATCAATTTTTTCTTTGCCTTGCAATGCAAATGCTCAAAAAGAGCGTGCATATTTTACAATTGATTTCAAGAAAGATAAGGTTCTTTTTGAAAATTCTGCAAGCTAAGTATTCTTCAAGTGGTCACACTATCTCTAGGAGGTTTTCCCTTAGGAATGACCGTCTGGTAGTTGCGACATCACAAATGTAAAACAGAGATGAGAGGCCTCCAACCTTTTTGGCTTTGACCTGCAGTCATCTCCTGATTCACTTTATATGTGTTGTTGCTAAGGAACCTCTTGTGTCAAACTTTTCACATGGGCACTCTACCATCCTCGCCAAAACAAAACTGAGCATGGCACATCATTGTGCTGTGGTGTTTTTGTATGCCTTGCAAATTCTCCTTTGCATAGAGAAAACGAACCATCAACGTAATCAACAGAGGAGATAAAAGATCAACAGTCCTCAAAATTCCAAGAAACAGATCTCCTTGTAGAAAGGTGCTACTGCTGAAGCTGCAAAATGCACACATCATGTGATTAACTTGCATATCAGATGGAAATATCAAATAATTTGGCATGCAAAGCAAGACAAAAAGTAAATTAAATCAGCAAAAGACAAGGTGCATGGATGCATCTAACAAAACATTAGCTTATTACATACATTTGGCTCTCCAACCTTTTTGGCTTTGACCTGCAGTCATCTCTTGATTCACTTTATATGTGTTGTTGCATAAGGAACCTCTTGTGTCAAACTTTTCACATGGGCACTCTACCATCCTCGCCAAAACAAAACTGAGCATGGCACATCATTGTGCTGTGGTGTTTTTGTATGCCTTGCAAATTCTCCTTTGCATAGAGAAAATGAACCATCAACGTAATCAACAGAGGAGATAAAAGATCAAGAGTCCTAAAAATTCCAAGAAACAGATCTCCTTGTAGAAAGGTGCTACTGCTGAAGCTGCAAAATGCACACATCATGTGATTAACTTGCATATCAGATGTAAATATCAAATAATTTGGCATGCAAAGCAAGGCAAAAAGTAAATTAAATCAGCAAAAGACAAGGTGCATGGATGCATCTAACAAAACATTAGCTTATTACATACATTTGGCTCTTTACAGATCAGGTCAGTATTAAAATTCCATTACTGATTTCGGTTCATCATCATATCACATTCGTCCCACCAGTTTTAACTCAAAGTTTATTCTCAAGTCTCCATTAAGGTTGCATCAAATTTCAGTTTGTATATTTGTTTATCCAAAAGGATCCCAAAATCTGCTTCAAATATTTGTTTTGTAGACAAGTTCATATAATTCCAAATGTATATACTTGTA